TTTTCTAAAGCGTTTTTGAAAAAATACATACCCCACCTTTAATATATATTTAAATGTAATTTATTTCTGTGATGCAAAGCCTAATTTTCTCCAGTCACAAGATCCTTCAGAAATCAATCTAATATGCTGATTTACTGCTCAAGAAACATTTTACTATTATTAGTATTATTATAATCAATGTTGAAACAGTTGTGCTGCTTAATACTTTTGTGAAATATTTGGTTTGAATAGAACTTGAATGAATAGAACATTAAAAAAAAAAAGTAAATATGCACTTGTTTTTTTTCTTTACATTTTTAATTACCTGAAAATTGCAAAGCCCAAATTCAATCCTGCTAACAACAACTACTATTTCTTTTAGTGCATCACTGCAGACCAGCTCCATATATTACCTTCTCCTCCGCCTCGAGTCGTTGTGCCTCAGCTAAAGCAGACCAGAACACTGCTCTGATCCCCTCTTTCTGGAAGTATCGGGCCCAAGCTCGCCGTTGTTCTCTAGTGAGCAGGTCGGCTTTGTTCAGAAGAAGCATGTTTACTTTGTGAACTGAGACTTCGTTTACATATTTTTCCTGACGGAGAGAAATTAAAGCGTGATTAAAAAAAAAAAAAGAGTTATGAGTATAACTGTTTTGGTCTGATGTCTCAGTTACTTACAAGATCTGGACAGCGGAAGAGAAGCGGGTTTCTGGCATCAACAATTTGAACCACAACATCACTGAGGATAAAGCAAAAAAATAAATAGTACCCTAAGAAACCATCATTCCTACATCAAAGAGTGATTAGATAGTGAAGAGCACAAATGAAATCTCCATTGTATTAAACAGGCAAGCAAAAGCTCACCTCCTCTCAATGACTCTCCAGAGTTGCCTCCAGAAATCAAGATTCCTCTCAAAAGGGGTAAGAATCAACTTCTGTTCCTCTTCCAACCTATTACAGAAATCGCATTTGCTCACAAACACTAGAGAATTGGATTTGCTAGTGTATATGAACTAAATTTATCAAACATTCACCGAGCCAGTTCTCTTCTCCATAAAAGGAAACTGTCCCTCTCGTTTTGCTGCAGAACCTCAGGGCTTGTGCTCTCGTCCCAAGGAGGCCTGTAGTGACAAAGCAAAAAGCTGAATAAATTAGCTTTTGCATAATTGTGTATCTACAACAGATCAATGGAACTTTCATACAGGTTTATAGAAATCACATTTAATTACACAACAACATACCTTCTGGGAATTCGTAAGAACTGTTTGTTGTCCTCATGGAGTTTCTTCAGTCGTGTGGACTCCTCAGCAGAAAGCAAGCCG